AGGCCATGGGGGCGGCGCACGCACCGCGAGACACTTGTCAGCACTCGTCTGAGTCAGAGGCAGCGCTGAGCCGGACCCGAGGTGAGTGGCCGCCGCTGGGGATGCGCTCTCCGATCCGCAGGGAGAAGGGACAGAAGCGGTCGCTGAGCGCGGGGCGCGAGGAGGGAAGCCAGCTGGGAAGAAGGAGGGGGCGCGCCTCGCACGGGCGCAGCTTCTCAGGTGTTTTCTAGGCGGGGAGCGGCAAAGGTAGGAGTCCGGCTGAGGTAGGGAGAGGAGCGCCCCGGGAGAGGAGCGCGGGAAGTCCCGGAGCCCAGGCCGGTGGGGGCGAGCGCGGCAGAGCCCGGGGCGCGGGAGCGGGGCTCCGGTCCGTACTCGGAGGAGCCGAGGGCGGGCGCAGAAGAGCTCCCGGACACCCCCTCGCCACCCGTCGGGCAGGCTGCCGGCCGTCGCCAGGTACGGATCTTGGCGCTCCTGTACCCCCGTCTTGCGCTAACCTCATAAAGGCTTGAGGAGGAAGTGGAACCCAACGGAAAAGCGTGCTGTTTTTTGTTTGCTCTCAGGATACTGAGAGGCATTTATTTTTCTCCCCACCCCAAGGTATTTACAGTTGTGTAACCTGTTTCGGGAAAGCGTTCGTGCGCCTAGAAATAAAGATCATTAAAACAAAAATTATTGTCATGAGCTCCAAATTTATTAATACTTGCGTATATGTTGGGGTTTTTGTGCCTTTGGTAAGTTTGACAATAAGTGGAAAAAGGAAGGGCGTGTGGACAGGGCACGGCTTGGAAAGAAAATTCGTAGCTGCGCTGGGCAGGGCAGGTCTAGGGTGTGATCGCCAGATCCTATCCCAAGTCCGCCTTCCTGACCGTAAGGACGTCTGAACCCGCGTGCCACGGAAACAGCCCGCTCCAGAGCCTTATTTGGCAAACAGGGCTAGGCGTGAACCTTCTGCTGGAAAACTGTTTCGTCGGCTGCTTTCATCCTGTGCCTGTGGCTTTGATTCCTCAGCTCTGCCTCCCATCATCTGTCTTAATCTGGGGAAAAAGACTTTAAAGCTACTTTTCTTCAGTTTCAGGCTCCTCTTGTCTAACTCATCATGAGTTCTCCTCTCCCCCGCTCCCACCTACCAAGGAAGGTGGGATAGAAGTGTGGGAAATACTACGCTTTCTTCCCTAGTATTAGAGCAGAGACATTGTTTAGATTTTCCCTGAGAGAAAACACAGAAATTCCAATGTTTTCCATGCTTTTGAAAGCAGAGTAAGCTGCTCACTATTTCCTGCCTGTTGGGTATTTTCAGAAGGGTTTGGGCACTAATAACCAGATGATTTTCAAGGAGACCTGGAAAAGGCCAATAATAATATTGCCATTGCTTACGGATCTGAATGTTTTAAGGCCAATGTATTCTGAATGAAGCTAGCAGAAAGAAAACACTAAAGAAAGGGAAACACTGATTCTGTAGTGTGGCGGTGACCTGCGAATGCTAGAAATTTTAATAATAAATAGAAGAAATTAGGAAGGGAGCCCCAAATAAAGGGAAGTTGCATGTACAAGGGTTGATATAGACATGAAATACGTATTTTTGTAGGAACAATGGAGCCAGAGGAAGTTGAACCCAACTTTTACATTCTTACCCTGTTCCAAGTTAAATATTAAAAAAGAAGGATGTCAGGCTGCCTATGAAATATCAGTTGGCTTTACATGTTTCTGATTTGTATTGTGTGCTGATATCAAAAGTTCTTCTCTCCTAGTCCTATGAAAATCTTTATTACAGAGGGAAGACAAACTAATTGTGTGGCTCCTTATTACCTTCCTACTCTTTGTTTTTCTTGTATCTGTAGGTATTTGACTTCTGGCTTGGCCTTTGGGTCTTTTAGTGCCCTGTGCCTATTACTTCAGTAGTGAAGTAATGTATTACTGCATAATAGTTCAGTGTACTACTGTGTCAGTGGAAAAGCGAATTTAATTCCTAGATAAATGCTGTACAGATTTTTACTGATTGAATTTTTCTTTAATAATCAGGCTTATTTGAAAGTTTTGCCTCATTTTCCCTTTATGAGAAGATGGAATCTGTTTGCTTTTAATATACACAGTGGTTCGAATATCTGCTTCTGTCACTGTGAATTTGGTGTGATGGGATAGAAATTTTAAATGCGTTAAACAAATGGAAAAACATTTTAAGAGAGGTGATATAAGGTGATGGATGATTTGGTTGAACAGCTCAGATTTTCTAAGAACATTTTTCAACCGTCTTTTTAAAAAAAATGTGTTTTTAAAATTATACATATTTTATTTTTAATATTTTTCAAAGAAGGAACTATGACATTGCTTAGTATTATATTTAAAAAAAATCTCCATTCATCCCAAGCTCTCCCACCCACATAAAACCACATAACAACCAATGCCAATCTCCAAGTCTAATTTTTTTGTGCTTTGATTTTTTTATTTATAAAATACTACCATGAGAGTCATTGTAAGCACGCTTAGAATAAAACACGGAAAAAAACCAAAATGAAACTCTGAAATATTGATTCTTTTCTAAAACTCCAATTCAGTTTCATGCATTAAGATTAACCCTGTATTCCTACCATGTTTCTTATTCACCATGTGGTAAATGCTTACTTTACTTTGATGAGGCATGTGTATAAAATTCTAACTAAAATATTACTGTGCTAGAGTATTGCCTATCGTTGCCTATCCAAAGGAAAAGTGTATATTACTTCAAGTGTGGAAAATATCATATCCCAATAAGAGCAAATACAAATTGTGGTTAATGACTGAGAGAATGGTTTTGTGTGTTAAAAAACATTTCATTTTTAAAAATTTAGTATTTGGAATGGAAATATATTGATTTACAGCCCCTTATGTTAGAGTAACTTAGAATTTAAGTACATGAAATTGAAGTACTCTTGCCAGTTGAATGCATGAGGTGGAGAGAAGGGCAACATCATTTTGATTTAAACCTGGAATAAAATCTTGTTCTTTCCTATACATGTACACATAAAGGAGTGTTGTAAAGTACTCTGAGTTTAAGTTTGTATGCAGGGAGCCACAAAATTGGATACAGAAATATATTCCGATGTGGAATTTTTATGTAGAAATTATATATTAGCTCATAGATCCCTTTTCTTAGACTGAAATTAATGAGAACTTAATATAGACTTGTATCTTTTATATTCTCTCTCCCCAGAAAACAACACAGAACATAATTTAGTTGGTTTTGTAATAAGCAAACCCACTGCCCAAGTCGATTCTGACTCATAGCAACCCTGTAAGACAGAGTAGAACTGTCCCATAGGGTTTCCAAGGAGTGGCTGGTGGATTTGAACTGCTGACCTTTTGGTTAGCAGCCAGCTCTTATCCACTGCGCCACAGGGCTCCAATCTTTATGGAAGCAAACTGCCGCATCTGTTTTCCGTGGAGCGGCTGGTGGGTTCAAACAACCAACCTTTTGATTGGCAGCCAAGCACTTTAACCACTGCACCACCAGGGTTCTGGCTTTATATTAAATACATTTAAATATGTAATAGCGTTTCAAATAAACACTTTCGTTAACCATCTAATTTTCTTTCAGTTTCTTTCATCTTCTGGGACTGGACTTAAAGCCATAAGAACCATGAGCAACTACAGTGTGTCCTTGGTTGGCCCAGCTCCTTGGGGTTTCCGGCTGCAAGGTGGCAAGGATTTCAACATGCCTCTGACTATCTCAAGTGTAAGCATACTTTACAGGTTTTATTGCAGATGTTCATTCAGTTGTCCTGGAAACCTCAGGGCTGAGTTGTCAAATTCACTGTCAAATTGTTTGTGGGATTTGATGTCAGCAAACTTAGTTATCTGTAGTAAAGGATGGGGGGAGGAATATTAGCAATTCCAGTTTAGCTTATTTTCAGTTTCCCCCGTCTTATCAGTAATAAAATGGAAAAACATTTATTTAGGGGGCAGGTTGCAAGTCTTTGAATTGTCACTAATTTGGGGAATTTTCTGGACCTTAGTTTCTTTATATTAGAAGATTGCACTGTAGGATTTTTACAGTCCCTTTCAGCTCCAAAAGTTGTTTATCAAAAACTGTTCATCGATCTTTAATAAAATAGCTGTTTCTGCTGTTGTTTCCTGAGTTCACTTTCTGATGGAGGTGATAGTGAACCAAAAAGTGGTAAAAAAAATTTGAAGAGGAAATAAAGAGCTTGGCTCTCCAACTAGATAGCATGAACAATTGAGATTTGGCTGTTTACCTCATTATGGATTTCATTTGAATGTGTTCTGTGTATATATTTTAAGGATATGTTTCCATGATGATGATACTGATGAGGGGGTTAATTATAGCTTCCATTTATTGAGGCTTGGCTGTGTGTCAGGTGCTGTTCCACTCTCATCTGTAGTAGGTAATTATTGCCATTAATTGTATAACTTTACAGAGATTTTCTAACTGTATAGTCAAATAAATATGGATATTTACTTTCCTTCTGCTCACATGGTAGCATATTATACACATTGTTCTACACCTTGGTTTTACCTTGGGAGAATTTACCTTGGAGAATTTTCCATGTTAATATACATAAAGAGCCTTTTTTTTTTAAAAAAAACAATTGTATAGTATTCTGTTGTATGCATGTAGCATTTATTTAACCAGTCCCCTATTGAAGGGCATTTATATTGTTTTTAATGTTGCTGTTAAAAAAAAAAAAAAAATCCCCTCCTGGTTGCTGAAAAGTTTTGGAAACCCTGGTGGCGTAGTGGTTAAGTGGTATGGCTGCTAACCAAAAGGTTGGCAGTTCAAATCCACCAGGCGCTCCTTGGAAACTATGGGTCAGTTCTGCTGTGTCCTTTAGGGTCGCTATGAGTCAGGATTGACTTGACGGCAACAGGTGTTTT